CTGCCCTCTCCTGCTGCAGCGCCTCTCACCAGCGGCCTACATCTGCCCTGCCTCACCCGCTACATTCAGTGCTGCACACAAACCCAGGCTTATTTTCCTTAAAAACAAAACAAAGCCAAAAACCAAAAGCCTCCTTATGCCTGTGGTTATTAACATTACAGACCCTCTGGGCATCTCGTGGGAGTGATGGACCAATGCCCAGGAAGAATTACACACCCATAAAACCTTGGGAAGGACTCTAAGCTTTAACATGTGCCCTGAAGTGTGGGGAGCCAAACCCAGAGCTACTTAGGTGTCACAGAGATAACCCAGTGATACTGAGGGGTGCAGGCTGGGCAAATTGGAGGAGTCCTCACCTTCCTCAGGCTTCATGCCTAGACTTGTATTGCTGTTCATGCCTCGCCTGGAACCTTCTCCCACAGCATCTGGCCCACCCAGTTTCCTCCTAGCGCTGCCGTCTTGATGGTGTGGCAGTGACAACCCTCTCTGTATGTGACGAAGGCTCCAGGTTGGTTGTAGGGCACAGTGTAAATCCTAAGTAATTGATGCTCACCCTTCCATTAGGATCCGCCTGAAACTCCGCCCCCTATCAAATCTTCTGACTGCACCAAACACCGCACATGTGAGCACGGGCAGTCTGCACGGGCTCACGTGCTGAATCATGTTGTGCCTTGATGTTCCAGACAGTTCAGAGCACGTGTGCTGGAGCCAAGATTCCAGGTTCCAACCTGGCTTGGCCACGCCCTCAACAAGCAACTTCAGGAAGTCGCGTAACCTCCCTGAGCACTGATTTTTTGTCAGTGTCTACCTGCAAAGGTTGCTGTGAGGATTGAGTACCTTGTTATTTGTAAAGTATTTAGAACAGTACTTGGCACCGAGTAGGAACGACAGAAGCATTAGCTCTTACCATGATCTGAAGGCAGTAATCTTGTCAAGTGCCTATTAAAAAAAAATAGGGGCACCTTGGTGGCCTAGGTAATGGTCCCAGGGTCCTGTGATGGAGCCTCTCATCGGGCTCCCTGCTCATAGGGAGCCTGCTTCTCCCTCTCCCTCTGCAGCTCCCTCTGCCTGCTTGTCAAAATCTCATTTTTTGTCAAATAAATCTTTATTTTTAAATTATTTTAAATAGCGCCTATCAGCCCTTCCCAGAGCCGTGTACACAGTGGGCATTCAGAACACACTCCCCATGTTTCTGACCAAGGTGGTGAGAGGGTCAAGCATCAGAGGCTGGAGAGTGAAGTGCCCTTTGGCTCCTGCTCTAACCACTTGTTTGCAAAAGAGCCTGATTCAAGCTGAACAAAGAAACAAGGCCGGATCTGCTCTAATCCTCTCCGTTGGCTGCCTCGTGTCCACTCTGACGGCCCGGTTCCTGGGCAGACAGTCAGCGCTGTCCCACCCATCATTATTTGATCCTCACAAAAGGGCAGGTGGAGCTGCCAGGGCAGACAGTGACCCCAATATGAAGGGAGGAAACTGGGACTGGGAGGGCAGCAAGACCTGCTGAGCACATAGGGCCCAGATGTCCGCCCGCATGGGGAAGGCACCTGCAACTTCCTTCTCCAGTGCCCCCGGGCACCCCAACTTCCTCCCTCCTCCACCGTCATTGCTGTCTCTCAAGAGCAGAGGCTTGGACTTCTTCCTGCCGTACATCCCTCTGTGCTGATTCCAGTCGTGTTTCAAATGCCCCCCCCCCCACCCAGGTAGGAGCCAACCAAGCCAGCCCCCCGCATGACCCACCCTCCAGATTACAGCCCCTCCTTTCCAGCTGTGTGCCAGGCAGCTTGACTCTGGTCCCCAAACACCAGAAGCTTCCAGCCCTCTTGTATCACCAGCCCCTCTGTGGCCAATTGCTCTTCCCATGCTGGCAGTTCTCTGCGTTACCAGGGGCCTGCTAGCTCTCCTCCTTGGCATGTGCCCCTGCCTCTTGCAGCCGGCCAGTCCCCCGGCCCTGCTCAGGGCTGCTCTGGAACATTCCACACACCCACGCCTGCTCTGGTCACCTTGCCCAGTCCTTGAGTGTAACTGTAGTTGAGTCCCTCCTGTTCAGCAATAGCTGTGATCTTCCAGAGGTAGAGATTTTCCCTTGGAGCCTGTGGGTTTTACAGGAGGCTGGACGCACCACTCAGATTCTGTTGTTACAGGCCGACTCTCGTTCAACGTGGGGATTTGGGGGGTGCTGATCCCTGTGCAGGAGAAAATCCATGCAGAACTTCTGACTCGCCCCAAACTTAACTACTAATAGCCTACTGTTGACCAGAAGCCTTATCCATGTCAGTTTAACACATATTTTGTACACTACATTTATTATATATTATTAAAAAAGCTAGAGGAAATGTTAAGAAAATCATAACATACATTTACAGTACTGTACTTACTGGAAAAGACATCCACACGTAAGTAGACCTGTGCAGCTCAAAGGTCCACTGTATAACCTAATAGCTAAAATATTTGGGTCCCAACCCTCACTGGAGGACACACACCAACTCAGGGGCTCCCCGTGGGCAGCAAGCACAGACACACCTCCATGACCCAGCGGGCTGCCACAAACCCGCGCAGCACCTTCCCACCCCGCCCTGCCACAGGCTTCTGGTCCCCTGAACTCTCTCGGGCTTGCCTTCTGCTGGTCTCTCTCCTGCTGCCAGAGTCTGCACCCCCACCTCCTACCCCACTCCTGTCTCAGCCACATCTCCCATCCTTCAGGGTCCTGGCCTGTGGCCTGACTCCTGGCTTTCCCACGAGGCTTCCTCCGTGTCGGCTCTTCCAGAGAAGCCCCGGCGGCACTCGCTCGGTTCGCCCTGTTCTGCCTGATCCAGAGAACGCGGCAGGTGCTTGCCAGATGCTGGTGGACCAGCATGCCCACCTACGAGACCGCAGGGTCCGGGCCGCACAGGGCAGGACCACTTGGCTGCTCTCCATCAGGGGGATGGAGAGCACACTCTGACAGGGGCCAAAAAGAACCTGCCCTGACTCCACAAGAGTGTCTGCCGTGTAGAAAAAACCAGAGCACACATTTTCTATGATTTTGTCTGAGATGAATAATGCATTGGGCATGATGCAGTGACATGTGTGCCCTCCTATTCATCACGTTACTGTGTGGTTTAAAGATATGAAGTGTATGCACATGTTTCAGAACTTAGTAAATTTGTTTAAAAATCTAGACTAAGAAATCGGTACTAGAGAACTCCCTACAGAAGGGTCAACTGAACAGAGGGTCTAATTCTTGAAGTATTGCATTTATTAAGACAACTGTATTAAAATGGACTTAAAGCACCCGTCGGCAATTACCTTTTTCCCCTCAAAAACCTACTGCAAAATTAGAATAAAGTTAAAATCGAAGTTTCTTAAAGAACTTTAGAAACCCTGTAAGCAACTCAATTTAACACTTAGCTATGACTGAGGAGACCAGCTGTTGTCTAAAAACCCGTGCTTGGTCTTTCAGACCTGGTGCAGGCAACTTGAGGCTGTCCCCACTGCTGCCACGCACATGGCTAGTGCATGGCAGTCTCTGGGGGACCTGCAGTCCAGGACTCCACACCTTGGCCCCACCCTCGCTCTTCTGCCTGTGTGAACTCCCAGCCTGCCCACCTTCATTCAGAGCCTCATAGCTCCTTGCTCAGGCACCTCTGCTGAGCCCTCTGTGGGCTGGGGAGCTCTTCGCCTGGGTTAGTCTCTTGTTTATACTACAACAGTAAGCGATGACAGACCTAACTATTAATTTCATTTGGCTTTCTTCCCAGCTTTCTTGAGGTAGAATTGACAAAGTTGTAATATATTTAAAATGTTTAATTTGATGATTTGGTATACAGTAGTCCCCCCCCCCCCCTTATCTATGGTTTCAGATACCCATGGTCAACCGCAGTCTGGAAGTAAATGATCCTCCTCCTGGTCTATCAGAGGGTCAGCAATGGCCTGCCGTCTCATCTTTCCTCTCATCTCATCATGTGGGCATTTAATCATCTCCCACCATCATGAGAAGGGTGAGTCCAGCACAATAAGGGATTTTGAGATACCACATTCACATAACATTTATTGCAGTATACTGTTAAAACTATGCTTTATTATCATTGTTAATCTCTTACAATGCCTGATTCATAAATTTGATATCATAGATATCTACATATAGAAAAAAGCCCCCGTGATGTACAGGGTATGGTACTATCTATGGTTTCAGGCACCCACCGCGGTCTTGGAACAGGTGCCATGGATGGGGGTGGGGGAACTACTGTATATACTCAGGTTGTGAAAGGGTTCCTACCACCAAGTTAATGAACTCATCCATCACCCCGCCTTTTTGGGGTGAGAATGCTCCATTTCTACCCTCTGAGCAAATTTCCGTTATACAATACAGTATCATCAACCATAATCACCACATTAGATCCTCAGAACTAATCCATCTTCTAGTTGAAAGCCTGTACCTAACTTGGAGGGCATTATACTCAGGGAAATAAGCTGGATGAAGACAAATGCCACATGGTATCACTTCTATGTAGTGCCTTAAAGCTGAACTCCTAGAAACAGTAGCATGGTGGCTGCCAGGGACTGGGGGAGATTGGCCAGTTGTCTGAATCCACTCCTTGGACACTTGGCAGCTCAGCCTTCTCTGGCTCTTGACAAAGACACTCACACCTTACTTGATTATTCTGAACAAGCATTCTCTCCTCTCATTTTGAAAAGTATTTGTAATAGTGGCCGTGTGGGAAAACAAGAGAATCCAGAGAAAGGAGTTCTCTCACCGGGATTAGTAACGTAGCTCTGGGAGGTCCCCTCGCTTTGGAGGCTGGGCCTTCTGGTCTGCAAAACGAGGTTACTTGACTAGATGTTGTTGAATGTTCCTTTCAGATCTAATATGCCAAGATTCTATGAATCATAACTTCTAAAACTACCTTCTGAAAAAGTTTAAAAAATAAAGAATGAAGTTAAACATGTTTTTAAAATTATGTTTACAAGGTAACCTTTACAAAGCAGCATTTAAAAATAAATCATCTCACAACTCAAGTGCCTGATGGTGCTGCCCTTACACTGGCCAGCAAATATTTATTGTATGCCTTCTGCATGCCAGGTACATATACACTGCGTTTCCTCTCCTCGCCTGTGAAAGAACACTCAGCGCTTCTTCCAGGTAAACTTTCTGCGGGCTCCCTCTTGGCCTGGCTTCTTCCGTTCTTTGACGCGTGGATCGGCAGTCAGCAGTCCAGCTGTGGTGCAGAAAGAGAAGCCTTTATGAACCATGAAAAATGCACGCGGCCTAGCAGGAAAGCAAGCAGACCTGTAATAATTTACCAGCCTGGTATAAATCTCATGACAGCACTTTGCTCTCACTCTTTTAGGAGTGTTCCCCCATTTCGGAGACAAACACCAGCTACATTGTTTGAGTCTGTTCTTCTCCTACGAGGGCTGTGGTTCCTTATAGGTTTTTAAGCCTGTTCCACTTAAGATAAGTCTGCTCTTGTGTGGGCAGCCACTATTCATTGAGACTGTACTTACACTGCCTGCTTATTATTAAAGGTATGAAAGTTCTAAAGGAGACTCAAGGTAGAAAAGAAACAGTATCTGGTGGAGTAAGAGAAAGTGTAAGGACACTGTAGATTAAGAACATGAACATACAAACATACACATACAGTATGATTTATCAAACCCATCTGAGGAAAGAAATTTCTGGAAGCTTTCACTCTCCTAATCATCAAGAGCAATTATGATTTCTAGGCAACTGATGAGTTACTACAGCATATGCCCCGAAATAACATGCCCCCGTGGTGGCTGGAACCACAGATTTCAAGAATATCAGTGATGAGAAACCTCTTACACTGCTTTTATAAATATGTAAACAGACCATAGTTTTTCCTTGTCTTTTTTTACTCTTCAACACTTTTTACTTCCAGCACTTCTTTTCCCTGCGGACAAGGTATGGGTATCTTATTAGGAATATCCAAATGGCCATAAAGCAAGGGCAAACTTCAATCACTCATATACCCATTAAGTTTTTGAACTTACTTGTCTTTAAAGGGGCACAGAATAAATATTTTGGACAAAATGCTGACTAGACTTGTCTAAATTCTCATTTAAATTACAAGAAGAGTTTATTATGTTTCAATATGCACACTAGCAATATTGTGAAGGTCCTACAAGTTATCAGAATGACTAGACATGAATCCTACCAAATGGTGAGTTATCTATAAGCAAATGGATTTTTAAGAGACTTAAAGAATCAACCAGCCTCAGCTGCAAGTGGTGCCCACCTGCAGCATGGTGTCAGGATGGTAGCGGCTCCCATGGGAGGGCAGGGGGCTCAGAGGTGCTAAGTGACTCGCCCAGTCACAGCTGGTTAGTAGCACCCGTGGCGCTTTCTTCCCTCCAGAAACAGTTCAAAGACAGTCTTCACTACAACTCCCGTGCTTTATAATAAGTGCTTAAAGCAGTGCCCTAACAGACAAACCGATTGTATATTCTTGCAGACTCTTGTAGTCATGAAGAGATGACAGAGTCACCCAGCAAATAAGACAACATACAATTAATTTAAAGTCACATCACACTAGAAAAATGGAAATCGCCAATGTTGGAAAGCTACAATATGGACTTCATCATCACATCGAATCGTTCCAGGTTTCTGTGATAAAACAATCACTGACTGAGCTGTTACACACAACAGAGCAGCGCTGGTTAAACTGGCCAAGAGGTTAGGCTGTAAAGGGCCAAAAGAAACCTTCCTTGACGCTGGGAGGGCCTCCTTTTCTTTTTCTAATTCAAATTCACTTCACAGAAATGAAAACTGAAAAGCACTGTTACGGTTCTGAGGCATAAAAAGGGAAGCCAGCACACTGCAATGCTATGTATTTAACTGAGTATGTTCTGATTTCGCTGCGGGAACCAGCGAACACTCACAGATCGTGCAAAGACAACCCTCCCACACCCCTGCAACTCGTACCTTGTCTCATCCACTCAACCTCTTCCTCCGTGACGAAACTGCACAAGGCTCTTGCCACTGCCAAGCGAATGGCTCCAGCCTGCGACGACCGCCCGCCCCCTGAGACAGTACAGGTCGTGTCATGTTTTCCAAGCCGGTCGAGGAAGTGGAAGGGGAACATCAACTGTTCTCTAAAACACGTCACACGGAAAGGTAGTTTACTATAGAGATTTATAAACTGTTCACACTCTCAACAATTATAGAAAGCATATCAGGCATGCCAGCACTCAGACTTCACAGTGCTGCTGGTACTGGGAAGGCTCTGCGGACAGCCACGTTTCTTCTTCTTCCTCTTCTTGGAGAAAGCAATACAGACTCTCTCACTGTTGATCCAATAGCTTTTCTCTTATGAGAACCCTGTGAAGCTTGAAAATAACCTTGTAAAGAAGTCTCAAAGCTGGGAAATGCCACTATAACCAGCGGAACCTCCCTGGATTCAGTGATCAATTATCAAATGCCATTAGACTCACTAAACAAAGTGTACCATAATGTATGATGCTCATCCTGACATGGTTTCTACAGTTCCTAGAACCACATTCAACTCCTACCCAACCCCTGCCCCCTGAAACACCTATTCCTATTACTGGTTCTTGGCAGTAGTGGCAGGGTCCCACTACTGGTCTGGCACCAGGAGACACACTGCACAACCCCAGCCAGGCCTGCTCCCCTCAGCAGCCTATGCCTGCGTGGGCCCCACGGGCACCCCAGGATTAGAGAATGGAACACAGAATGTGGCCCCGGACCTTCTCTTGCTCAACCCAGCAAGTGTCTGTTGAACACCATTTATGTACCAGGTACAAGCACCACTGCCTTTGTCAAGTATGTTGATCTTGCTATTTTGCCCTAATATCTCTACTGAATATTTAAAAGCCGATTCATACTGGATTTACTTGCTTTATCTGACAGCGTAGCTTTCTAGACCCCAAATAAAATTTATTACACCACAGCGATGCTGAAAGATAGATATGGACAGGATATAAAAGTGTTATTCCTCGGGTTACACAGGCAAAATAATCACATGCAGACAGATGGAGAGAACCTTTTCTCTGAACGAGACCTTCCAAGAACACAGTAACTGGAATCTGCAATAGTGCTATTTCAACAGGGAAGTTGTTTCAACAGGAATGAAACAACAAACACAGGCCTGAAACAACATAAATCTATATTGCTTTGAATAAGGCAACCAAATAAAAAACAGGAATGTTATAAAAATAGTGCTATTTAAAGTAATAGCCATATTATCATAATAACTAAAGAAAACTTAGAGAATGATAATATAATTCCAGTATTTCACTTTTCTAGCAGGGAAAGACAGCCCAAGACAGAATCTATGGGATTATCTCACAGACGTGTGTGGGGAGGGGGGGTGTCTCTGTGTTTTCTGACATTGTTAAGTGGTTAGTGACGTAAGTGACATCACTGAGTAGCTCTAGTAACCCACTTGTTTGGGAGCTTAAACACTTACCCGTCTTAATTCCTAAAATTCTACGATTCCTTAACAAATGCTTATATAAAGAACTATAGACAAATTCAGGAAAAAACACATTCTATAATCTACTCCAGATACACTAGAGTGACTGAGCCAGGGTGGTCAAGGCATGACAGGACCACCAAGAAGGGTCTGGACAGTTGGAAAGTTGGTGCATACTAAGGAAGAAAACTTAGTTTATAGGTAGGTGTGACCGAGAACCACCAGAAGGGTCTGGACAGTTGAAAGTTGGTGCATACTAGGAAGAAACTTAGTTTTAGGTAGGTGTGACCCGAAGAATAACAGTCAAAATGGTTATATAGAGCTAACAATTTTAAACTGGACTACAAACAAATATGTAAAAAAACAGTCTTAATCTGCTCTCAGGCATCTCAGATGGAATCCTGAGTTTAAAGAATCAAATTTATTTTACTCTTTGTTATCTAATCAAAGTTATTTTGAAAAAAAAAAAAATAGGGGATCCCTGGGTGGCGCAGCGGTTTGGCGCCTGCCTTTGGCCCGGGGCGCGATCCTGGAGACCCGGGATCGAGTCCCACGTCGGGCTCCCGGTGCATGGAGCCTGCTTCTCCCTCTGCCTGTGTCTCTGCCTCTCTCTCCCTCTCTCTGTAGCTATCATAAATAAATTAAAAAAAAAAAAAAGAAAAAGAAAAAAAATAAAACAGTCTCCTTTCTATCTTCTCTGAACACAACTCCTTATGATAGCATTTGAAAAGCAAGTAACTTAGCGTACATACAAATGCATACTCTTTTTGATTCACAGTTCAGTTATCTTCCGACTGGTCAGTGGTCACCTCGCTGCTGAATCTGTAAGCTCCTGAGCTGCTCCTGCATGATGAAAGGCCTGCCCAGGGCAAGCACAGCTACCACCAATCCCTACAACCACTTTAAGATGATGAGATGGCCTGGGTGCCCATTCCCACACCAAGACTCTCCTTAGGCTTCCCATTCAGAGAGGAAGTTTCTAGATGATAGAAATAGTATCTTACATAGCTCTGATATCTTCACAATGGTCAGAACAAGACTGTGCACACAGACAGTCCTTAGTAAACACCTGATGAATTCAAACTGAAAAGTTCTAAGGATACCATTTAATTATGAGATCAAGCCATAACAAGATTTGTGGTTAAATCAGGAGTTATATCTGAAAGCAAACTAACAAGTTATTGGTCAAATGTCATTCCTCCAAGCAATTTCCAGTGCTGAAGTTCTGGGTCTCTCTCTGGCTGTTCTTAAAGGAAAGAAGAACTTCCTCTACCCATTTCCCTGTGAGAAGGATGGCAGGATTTGTCCACTGCATTTGAATGGAGTTAATTCCTTGACACAGACACACAACCAATAATATAAACATATATTTTCTGAAGTCATTTTTCAGTCCAGAAACTTGCCCATAAACAGGGTCCCCTTTACTTACATAAGCACAGGGATCAGCAGAGCTTCGGCCCCTTTTCAGCTTAAATAGCACACTACACATTCAGCAAACAGAAGGATTAAGAAGGAGGGCATAATCATGCAGAACCTGTGTTACCCATGGATCATGACAGTAACTACTAGAAAAAGAACTGTCTCTAAAAAAGGCCTGCAGATAGTGCCTCACAGAGATCGAAGATGAATGTATTCAGAGTACTTGAATTAGTAATACCTACTTATGATTAATGTCGATTTCTCCATAGGTTACAAAGTCCAAAAAATAAAACTGCCATATTTGGCACTGGGAACTAAAGCCTGATGAGCTCTTATTTTAACACATCAATGTCAGGTTTCTTTGCTTGCTCAATATGTAATCAATTTCCTCTGAGGAGGAAAATATCCAGAGTGTAAAGCAGACTTTTTCTAATATTTATGGTGGTAAGGGCCAAAGTAGGTTTTTGTTGTTCTGTGCACATCCACCTCCCAACTAGGGAAACAGAAGATGTGGTAATCTACTTTTCTTTCATTTCAGCATAGTCTGCATTTTAGAATGTAAGCTACATCTAAAATATTCAACTTCCAGTAGGCTCTGATGAAAAGAAAAGGAAGATTCAATTAATGAGGAATTCCAAAAGCTGCTTTTTCAAAATCTGGAAAACCAAAGAGATTTTAAAAAAAGAGAGATAGCTTCCTTCCAGCCAGTTTGATTTAAATGAATTATACTGGTAAAGAGAAACAATCATTCAGACATATATAATCAGAAAAATCACAAACCTTTTTAACATTAAGTATAAAGACAAAGAGCAAATGCAAAACCAGAAACTAACCTGTCTTGTGTCACTGGGAAGTAAAGAAGATAGTCAATTCCATTTACTTTTATTCTTCCACTTCCATGCCCATAAACAATTGCTTCTGCTTTTGCACTCTTTCTTTTACCTTTGTAAATATAAAATTTCTATTAGTCAAAATCTAAAGGCCAATGTTCTGAGATAGGTAAAACTACACATTAGATTCTTTCCCTAGAATGACTATGTATTATTACACTGTACGTAGGAAAGTTCTGTGAGTATTACAAGTCAAACAAGAATAAAACAGGTAAACTAAACCATAATTTGATGTAATAGAGCTTATTATGGGGTAATTCTGTTCCTCAACTCCATTTTAGGAAAACCACAATGATTTAAAATTAGTTTCAAGGCACCTCGGTGGCATAGTCAGTTGAGCGTTTGCCTTCAGTTCGGTCATGGTCCCAGGTCATGGGATCAAGCCCTGCCCCCTGTTCATGCTTGTGCTCTCTCTCTCTCCGAAATAAATAAATAAGATCTTAAAAGAAAAAAAAATTAGCTTCAATGAGCAATGACGTAATTCATATTTATTTACATTACTTTAGAAAAACAACCAATAGTGTTTTTTAATTTTTTTAAAAGATTTTATTTATTTATTCATGAGAGACAGAGAGAATCAGAGACACAGGTAGAGGGAGAAGCAGGCTCCATGCAAGGAGCCGAATGTGGGACTCAATCCCGGGACTCCAGGAACACGCCCTGGGCTGAAGGCAGGTGCTAAACTGCTGAGCCACTCAGGGATCCCTGTGTTCGTCTTTTATAATCAATAAGAATATATCTAATCATCAAGTAACTTTTAAAAATATATGAATAGTATGATAAAATTGGTAGAAATGGAAGGAATCCCCAGGAGAGGTCTCATTTGTTTGAAAACATTAGTTAAAATGCCAAAGGAAGGATTATCAATTGTTAAAGAGTTGCAGGTTTATCATTTAATAGGTCAGGCCTTAAAAGCTGCATCACAAGGAATGTCTCCATGGCTTTAAGGAAGATGTGAGGTTGAGGACTTAGAAGTTTTCACATTTCGGAGTTCCAGTATCTGACAAGCAGATTCCCTGAGCATTTTCATTTTACATAGGAAATCTTTTTTTTTTTTTTTTAAGATTTTATTTATTTTTGCATGAGAGACAATGGCGGGGGGGCAGAGACACAGGCAGAGGGAGAAGCAGGCTCCATGCAGGAAGCCCAACATGGGACTCAATCCCGAGTCTCCAGGGTTCCACCCTGGGCCGAAGGCGGCGCTAAACCACTGAGCCACCAGGGCTGCCCGGAAATCTTTATTATAAACATTTTTTGTTTCTGCCAGTTGAAAATGAAAATAAAAAGATTTAACATAAATCTGTAAAAATAAAAAGTGCTAGCAAGATGGTGTATGCACACATTCACATTTTTTCTTGGGACATGAGAAGGTTCAGATTTTTAAAACTTTCAATAAAGTCTTAAAAATCAGAAAATCCAACGTAGCAGTAGCAAAAAAAAAAAAAAAAAAAAATCAAATGAATATCAGGGAGTGAGAGCAAATAAAAATAATTGTCATTTCTCAGTTTTCCCTATATTTATCTTCTCTCCACAGAATGTCATTACCTTCGCTGGTGCTGAAGGCCATTCCTTGCTCGTCATACTGCACAGGTTCAATCAGTTGTTTTTTTGATTGAATAGTTACACTCCTACGAAATCTCTGCACAAATTCTTCTTCAGAACCGCAGTGCAGTGTCAGTAACCTTTCTAGCAGCCGAATAAACTGTGCATACTGCAGACAATAAAATAAAAATTCATTAGAAGATGCAAGTGTAATTGCATTTGCTAAATTTTTTCTATTTTTGTATACTTGATCTTTCCAATGTTGCTTTTCTTGATGAATTTTGACAGGATGACACTCCTGCACCTTCATGCTGCTTTTATAACAGCATGCAGATGCTGTACTTCCCCTGTGTATCCCTCAGTGCCCAATCTTTTCTTTTGAGAAACAAAAGGGACTTACCAAGCAAAGAAAAATCAGCTTCTCTGTATTGTCATTACAAGAAATTGAGATTTAAGTTCGTTTTTAAAAAATATTTAGATGATCTTCAAGTGTAATTTCTACTCTTTTATTAACTGGATCGAGAGGAGGTTTAAAAATAATTTCCTGTTAAGTTATGTATAGTAAAATGGGAAGAGTTTGATTTTGAGAAAATGTACCTCTTAAATTATATTTCATAATACATTTGGCAAATATATCTTTAGCTGTTCAAGCTGTGTTACTTTAATGTTTATGATTTCCTTTAAAACCGAACAATCAAGCTATTTAAAAATTCAAGAGATACTTGACTTAAAGGGCAACCTCTTGAAATAAATTATCCCTGCTACTCTGTGAGTTTTTTTTAATAGTTCTCGAACATGTGATTAGAAAGTAAACAACTTGGTATTAACCCCTTAAAATTAGACGTCAGAGTAATCATTCTAAAGTGTTTATGCAGAAGGAGACAACTAATACTCAAGATCCTTAGTTAATGTGGAGTGTGAAACCCAATTTTTGATAACCTTATTTGTGTTTTTGTCAGCCCTGAAAATCATACTCCTCTTTGTCACCTCTGACTTTATCGTGAACATCTGCCATTAATAATTTGAAATGTGGAAACATCTCCACAGTAAGTTTAAAAAAGCCTGCTTCGGTTACTCTTCTTTGTGCTGTTACAACAGAAGAGAAGGGCATTTTCTAAGTAAGGGTGACAGACTTCGCCACCTGCAGTACCTGGACTGATAACAGCTCTTTTCTTGCCCTCTGTTTACAGGCCTGTGCCCTCTGCTGTCAGTGGTTCTCTCAATTCCACCGCACACTTGACTATGAACGTATGGAGGGGTACTTACTAGTAGGGCATGGCCTTTCTGATAGGCTAGAGGTAAGGTTTAAGAAGTCTCCGCCTCCCTCATCTTGATACCAGTCAGTAGCTTCAGGATTTCTTCTGCTATCCAGTACCCCAAAGTACAGAGAACTATCATCTACACATCTACTGTCAATGTATATGACATATACGTATCGTTGTGTGTATGTATAGAAAATGTATATATTTGGTCTTCCCAGCTGCACACTTGTAAAAAAGTCTTTGGGCTATGTTTTTTTTTTTTTTTTTTTTCCATTTTGAAAACAACAACAAAAAGCAAAAAGGCAAACTTGTATTATAAAAATCAAAGCAGCCAGAAAACATAGGAAACAATGAAATGATGGGTTCAATGAAGAAGGAAAGAGATTTTTTCAGTTAGATCCAAATGCAGCAACAGAGACTTGGCAGTTAGGATATTAGAAATTAACTCCAGATCTACCGCTCACCAAATGCCTGACACCTTGTTAAGCAAATTGCAACGTTTCCAAATCATTAATTTATCCAATATGTTAAATGAGAAAAAGAGCAATTTAAGTACATGACTTAAAATCAACACGGGTGGCAAGGTACTAACAATGTTAGCCAGTGCCATGGAAGAAAAAAACCCTTCTTGGAACAATTTGTGAAATTTACACTCAAATCTTCTAGAAATAATCTAAATTTAGAACATCAACATGTTTAAAACATCAAATTTCCTCTGATAATATTGGCATATATTAGAGCATTTAGCAAAAGAACACTCCAATTAAAACCTAAAGCAGGGGGCACAAACTTTGTAGAGTATAAGACTCACCTTGGGAGCTTGTTAAAAATACGAATTCCTGGGTGACAACCAGGTCTGAATCTTAGGAAACTACATTTTCAAAGCAGTTTTCTGGCTGCATTTCAAGTGATTGTGACATGGGTGGGTCTGCTGAGTCTAAGACGAAAAATGCTGCCCTCCTAGATACTACACACGAGCAAGCCAGCGAGCAGCAAATTGCATAAAGACGACCATGTGCTCCATTCTTTTTCTACTTAACCTCCTTATACTCGTCATTATTAGCTTATAAAATTAGCTATCTGCTTTACTGAAGGAGATGAAAAATGACATCTGCCACACTTCCCTAGAACAACTGGCAGAGGACACAAGGGCACTTACATAGGAGGATCTGGAGACTAGGCATGTCACCCTCCTGACCGCAATTCGGCCCTATGGCAGAGATCAACTATAAATATGTTTTAGAAAGGAACACCTGCCTCTAAGAAACATTACTGTGACGATCCTAAATACAGCAATTGTCTGCATTCCTGTGGCACAAGGTCCCCTTAAATTTAAAAGATTAATTACTCACATCTTGATCTGACAGTTTTTCCACTAACATTTCTTCTAGTTCCTCCTTAATCAGCCATCTGCTGTCAATCAGGTCTCTGTTAAAATATCACATATATTTTCTTTTAAATTAACCATGCAATTAGAGTTCTAGCACAAAAGATCCCACATATAGTAGCGATTCTTGATTGGGAAAAAAATTTTTGTATTCTAGAGCATTAAGATTTCACCCAAATAAACTATTTTTGAGAAGTGTTATTTATTTAATTCCCTCATTCTACTTTAGAAAAGACACCCAGTGTAGCAAACGTTTTGTTGGAGAACTTAAACACATTATTGTGGAACTCATTTGATACACAAAGCTACCAGCTTTCTTAAAAATGAACACTGCGCTTATTTTTTGTTATTTACTTCAAAGGAGATGTTATGGACACAAAGTTGTTCTGTCAGTGGACTAAAGTAATAATAAAATCCAAATAAAGAGCTAGCAGTTGTTATGTATGACCTCACCAAGAGATTCTTGAAGACCTGTGTCTTCTGAGTAAGAAGCTGAGTGCATTACCAGGCCAGGCTGACAGATCTAAGCTATCACTATGTGTCCACTGGAAGTCCAAATCTTAACAATTACATGGCTTAATTATTTCTGCCATTTCAGTTAATAAGCAGCTATATAAACAAAAATTCTGAGGACATCATCTTCAAATACAAGCCATTTAATACATCAATCTGGAATGAAGTAACATAAAGATAACACCTGTAACATCTACTTCGTCCCAAACAAAAAACTCAACTGTTATTTGACCCATAACTTTAATCATCAATGCTGAAATAAGGAACACATTTCTAGGCTTTAAGTATGCCCAAAAAACACGAATGATAAGTGGCATGTTTTTCGTTCAAATTTTTCACATATTTTAATGCGAGAGAAGAACTTACTTGGTTTTAGTTTTTTCTGAAAATAGACCTTTGGCTTGCAACTGATTCTGACGTTTTTCTACTTCTAGTAGCTTTCCATATGCTTCCTGTGGCAAATAAAATACACACGCTAAAATAAGAGCTATGGCACATTATGACTTCTACTTCCTATTTTCCCTGTGAGCATCCCACATTTCAGAAGGGACCTCCTTACAGAATCTAGCTGCACACCAAATAATACTGAAAATAGTTTTAAATTGTACTACTTCTCACTCAAACAAAAGGATGGTAGAGAGATGCCTGTGTGGCTCAGCGGTTGAGTGTCTGCCTTTGGCTCAGGGTGTGATCCCGGGGTCCAGGGATCAAGTCCTGCATCCGGCTCCGTGCATGGAGCCTGCTTCTCTCCCTCTGCCTGTGTCTCGACCTCTCTTTCTCTGTGTCTCTCATGAATAAATAAATAAAATCTTAAAAAAAAAAAGGATGATAGAGTAATTTCAATGAGAATTTAGTATATGTTAATGGTACAGGTTAACTGATTTTTAAATAACTCTGTAAGAAATTTACTCTATAATGAACTCTACAAAAACACTCCAGTGAGGTTGGTAAAAACAAAAGAAAGCTATGAACTATTTTCCTTTAAGTTCCATAAACAGGACCAAAAATTTTCCTGTCGTAATTCATATAGCAATATATACTTTAAATTTAGGGAATTAACCAGCAAAGTTATGTTCCTCACACCATATTAGTCTATATCTTAAAAAGTTTTCTATTATATTTATTTTTTATTATTTGATTTCTTCCCATTAATTTACTTTCTAACAAAGTCTGTAAATGTATGCCACTTGTTAAATTGTAACATTAACAGGGGGGAAAACTGCCATTTTGTTAGAACTTGTAAAAAGCAATAATCTGGCAATGAAGAGTATCAATAAAATACGTTTTGCAGGAAATGAAATTACAAAAGTAGAATCATGCAAATTGTCTCCCAGTTTTTTGACTGAGCAAATTTTAATTGAGGACTCACATCCAGTACGTATGAATTAACTTATAATTTAACATAATCTACCATACTGGTACCTAATGAGTAGACATTTTCAAAGGATGAACCAGAGATGATATAAATAACATTTTTTCTTGCTGATCATGCCACCTTCCCATCTCATTAGCTGCTGTCAGATAATGAAGACACAACTTGTTACTGTAGCCATGTCCCTCCATATCTCAAACATTCTTAATAATTTCAAATTTCTGAGGGGCAACTTCTTGTGGGCTTTGATTAAACTACCATATATATCACAGGGTCTATGACAATAGTTTGTTCTAAGAAAAGGTGAAGTGTCCCTTTGCACCAGTCTCTGTATGCACCGGTATGTATACATTAACAGCATGCATAAGTATCTCAAAGTGAAACCATTACCAGTTCAGTAACTGTAAAGGGAAGTTTCCAGGCAGTGGCGGCGGCAGCAGCAGCAGTAGCATAGAAGTGTAGAACTGGTTTGAAATGTAATTTCTCAGGCCCCAAACCAGACTTTCAGATGAGGAACCTTTGGGGTGGGGTGGGGGGGCAGTGATCTGTTTTAATGATGACCCCAAGTGACATACACTAAAGTTTGGATCTAAACATCGGAAGTAGGGCAATCCCTGGGTGGCTCAGAGGTTTAGCGCCTGCCTTTGGCTCAGGGCATGATCCTGGAGTCCCGGGATCAAGTCCCACATCAGGCTCCCTGTGCGGATCCTGCTTCTCCCTCTGCCTGTGTCTCTGCCCCCGCCCCCCTCTCTCCCCCCCCGTCTTAAATGAATGAATGAATGAATGAATAAATAAATAAATAAATTACAAAAAAAAATAAACATCAGCAGTACCAAGAATCTAGTTCAACATAATATAGCAAAGGGAAAAATTCAGTTAATTCTATTCTAGTGTCCATATTAAGTGTAACAATCTCTATAACGATATTCCAAGTACATCCATTGCCTGTAGAAAACTACCAACTGTCTACCCAAAGAAAACAAACATGAATGTGAACCATCCACATGTGGTATGTATATCTGCTACTCAACTTAAAATTTTACAATTTATCTCCCAAGAATTGGCAAGCCTCATTTGACTTTTAACTCATTTTAAAAGGCTAAGTAAGACACTGGATTGTGACTCCAACTGAATACCATATCAGAACAATTTCTGTGTCTGTTTCTAGAAAGCAATTCTCAAATGCTCTGAACAGGTAAAATAAAGGAAGAAATAACAATCCACAAGACGAATCCTGCCCTACTTGTACGAAGCAGACTGACACAGCACAAGTGGCATCTCTCTTGCACCTGGCACCAAGCTGTCAGCACAGACCTCAACCACATTGCTATACCTTGGGGCTCTGGTGAAGGAATAGCACCAGTCTCTCTGTTCTGCTCCAGACCCTGGACTTCTGAGGGTACGTAAATCAGAGATGTCGTATCTTTCAAATCCAGCTAAAAAAAATATGAATCTAAGAGAACACCACCAGCAGTAATAAGATGCCTTCCCCAGCTTGTAAGGCTGTTATTTTCTGGAATAACTATGGCCAAGTAGAAAATAATAGTAATAACAGACCTGCCTCATAGTCCATTTTAGTCCATGTGTGGACTACTAAAGTCATCATCATTTTCCAGTGACTCTGGACAGACTTTTAAGTCCATACACTTCTTCACACATTTTTTTTTTAAATCATGCTATTACCTTCCATGGTTATATTTAGCTCCATAATCATTTTTAAACAGTGGAAGTGAAATAATCAGGAAAAAATGTGTACCATGAAAAACCCAACCATGAATAGTACATGTCAAATTTTAAACATGGTCAATTCTATTCATTTACAGCAGATGCTTACGCTTTCTTTGGTGGTTGTAATCCATCGAATTACATAATTCTCATTAAGATACCCTAACCATTTCTTTAAATAGGAAAACGTGTCAAGTATTTAGCACAGTACCTGACCTATAGTAATGGTCAAGAAATGACAGCAGGGGGGAGATATGGCTTTCAAGAGTCTAACAATTGAAACAATTTTACTGATGTACCGTTTCTACTTATTCTTTCTCTTTTATATAATAAAACCACTCTGGAGATTCTATCTTGGTTAGTTAAGGACAACAGTTCTCTAGAAAGTAGATTCTATAGCTTCAGCTCCTTGAAGGGATGTGTACTAACCTGCATCAAAAAAATCCCTGAGGGTATAAATTATGCCAGGAACTGTCAACATCACAGATTATCACTGGTAGCTTCTGGTATATTGTTAAGTTTCCACTTAATTTTTAAAGGACACTAGAGAATTAGTGTGACCCCACCTACACTAAGTTTATATACTGTATTTAATAGTATAATTTTCAAATATGACAGGAATAACCCAGATGTGAAATGCTGAATCATTAATCACAGCTATGATTAATATTTCATAAAATCAAAGCAAGCCTATCCACCCCTCATGTCATCAGATTTCCATAATGTATGAGTCAAATTTAGAAGGTGCCTAATTTGAAAATACCAGATGCTCAGGTTGCAGAAAAGGGATGCTTAAACTAAACCCTTCCAAGAGCATGAGCAATATGATTTTTGGTATCTTTCTAAAATCTGTTTTGGCTATATTAATCATGCAAAAATTCCAATTTTAGGAAGGGGAAACAACATTTCTTATGGGGGTGGTACAGGAAAAGTCAACTATATTTTGATACTCAAAACATACAATAATAAACGAATAGTAATTATCATCTTAGATACTAGTTAAATAACAGAAAACTAACAGACTTAAAATATGTATTTGTCAAAAAAAAAATCACAGAAAATCAGATTTCCTAAGTAGCAATCTTCTCAATTGTTTGGCTATTGGCATATACAATGAAATAAAATGAAATAAACATAATGTATGATTTACTTATCATGGTTATTGTTATTTATCTAATGTTTCAAGAGACATACTGCTATCACAGACCCTTGCTATCACTTAGTGAAAACAATATGCTATATATATAGTCTTAAAAGAGCATGCAAAGATTTGTCAGTACCGCTCTGTACCTTTTTAAAAATCAGCATTTTGCAGTTTTAAAGGAGTTATTTCATAATACCTCATTGTGAGAAGGGTTACTATTTAAAATTTCATTTTTAAAGATAAAGGCACTAAACTGAAAGTTTTCAATATTCACTACAATGTTACAAAGACAATGCAAACTACATTAGGATTTTGCGGCACTAAGTCCCCAGGACTTTTGCTTACTGGAGTCTGGAATCTTCACATAGTCAAGATGCTTCTGGGGTTGGTGTTCTCATGCTTTATGAACACAGAAGGTTACTTAAGTCATTTAAAACAAACCAGAGAATTTCTAAATAAGCCAGCCTTCTTTCAAAAGGCAAATGAATGCTGTTTACGTGTAAATTATCAGGATTAGAATTAACTTGGGTTTTCTTTCAAATTTTAACTTTTCTTTTCACTTCAGCAGTATAGTTTAAATAATATATAATGATCTACTTATTTAATTTCAAACTTCTTTGGGTACAGATTTCATCTGTGGCCATGTAATTCCTTCAATTTACAGAAATACTTTGAAAATATTCCATTGTTTACTGTAAAACGAGTCCTAAAAATGAGGCTTTTATATGATAATCACGGATGCAGTAAAAACTGCATCTATAAAGAGATGCACAACCATATCATAGAAATTGGGGTGAGGGAGTTTGTGTAAAATTTCAGCAAATGCCTATGGTATCTGAAAACTGATTTTTTCAATGTCTGTACAGCCTTTTACAAGCATTAGTCTCATGGAAGATTAAAAGGTGCCCTGGAGGGGCACTTGGGTACCTCAGTGGTTGAGTGTCTGCCTTTGGCTCAGGTCGTGATCCAGAGGTCCAGGAACTGAGTCCCGCATCAGGCTCCTGCTTCTCCTTCTGCTTATGAATCTGCCTTTCTCTGTGTCTCTCATGAATAAATAAATACAGTCTTAAAGAAATTAATAAAATAAAAGGTGCCCTGGGTACAAAGGGTTCTGTGACTGGATGTAGTAGGTTACTGCAACAGGCTTCTTTACTGCTGGACTTTATCATGCTATCACATAGCTCCTAGGACATGTTTTCATAGGACACAATGTGTGGCACTGCCAGCTCACTTTGTGGCAGAACCTTTTTCATGAAAAGTATTTTATAACCTGTGTTTCTTAGCAAACACTTTGGGAAAGGCTGCAGGGGACATGACTGGACTTCACGAATCATAGTTTACAAAGGGTTCCCACTTTAGAGTCAAACTATCACCTCTTGTAATGAACTTTAATCTTCAATTCGCTTTTAGTGAATGAATTTCAAAATTTTCAAAAACATGTATATAACGAGTAAACCTGAATTAACGTTTTTCCTACAATTAAAGGCCCTGCCCATACTCAACCATGACTGGCCAGGTTGTAAATGTCTTGCTCATGGGTATAGCCTGCTTCATCACCAGCATAGCCAGCTTGGACAGGCTCCGGATGTGGACAAGGGGTATCCCCCCCAATCAAGCTGGCAGGCCCTAAGGGCAGACAGACCACCCCTCAGGCCTGTCCCTTGACTGCACACACACAGTTTTCTCCCTCATCTAGACCAAGGCTATTCACAGCTCACTTGTGCCATGGCATAGCATTTTCTTTTCTGCACATACACATATTATCCTCTTTAAAAATTCTTTCCATTCCTTTACACTTTGGCTCAGTTGTTTCAAGAAACTTCTCTTCTTCTGCCTCTGCTTCCTCCTTCTGCTCCTGAAATCCTAAACTGAAACTCTAAATCATGCCTGAAAAGTATACAAGTTCTACTTGTCACATGGCTCTTAAGGAAATGGACAGCCATCCATTTTGGATGAGAAAAGACAGATGAGCCAGTACCATCAAAATTGGGAGCTCCCTTTCAGTACTCAACGATCCGATCCTTCGAGAAACTCCTTAAGTCTCTTATTTCTCCTTAAACTACTTTTTAATGTTTAAGACATTCCTTGTTTACACTATCCTATACTTTTTACATTATGTATGTATACCATATTCACTCACTACAGTGTAAAATAAGTGGATTTTCTGACTTTCCCAAAAACCTGAAGACATACATTGTATCCATGGGAAAAAGGGAGTTCCAAGGAAGGTGGTAACAACCTTTGGAAAGTAACACATTTACAAAGTCTGAGACAACATGGATCAGCACGTTTCTTCCACTTTAGGCTTTTCTATCATGCTTCACCTCTGGGCAGGAACAATAAATTGCTTCTTTCTTCTTGTCCTCATCTCCCCTGAAATGCTTCTCCACAAAGACCGGATGGGCTGATGATAGGCCAACTGGAACCAGTGTTCACTAAAGCACTGTATGTTATCCTTAACTGCAAGCCACATCAGGACTCTCTTGTATTAGTTTCTGTGAGGTAATATATAAGCTAATTATACAAACAGTGACCAAATACTAAAAAGAGGAATTGGCATTATTACAGAAGAGAAGAAGGTTAATTGATGTCAGAAAGGTCTCTTGGGCAAAACTGCACACATGCTGTAGATCTGTGAGTTGTTTGTCAAAAAGCTTGGCTCATGACTGCCATGCTTCACACAATTACAGGTGGCCAATGATAAAAACCTAGTTTGGCTTAGGGTCTTTTTACCCCTTCACATGGTAAGAAACGGTAACAACAAACATATATTTCTAAGCATTTGAGGCCTGCCACAGTCTTTGGGGGCTGACTCCTTGCTGCAGTGGGATAGTAGGAGGGGGCGATCACCCTCCCACAGAACAGAAGGGTATCCGCCCTTCATCCCAAGAGAAGGCAGAACAAAGGAGTGAGCAAACACACGAAGCAATTTCAAGTTTTATTCTTTTTCTTTATACCCAATGCCTGACTTCCCTACAAAATTGCCTCTGTTAAGTGACCAGTGGATATTTAGTCACACGCTATTGCAAAGTAACAGTCTCTAGGAGGACGTTCACCTGCATGACCTAGGAAATGTGCCTGGTAGGACTGCAGTTGTTAATTAATAATACTGGCCAGACAGGACACTAAAGTGATCGGCATAAGAAGTTTTGGAAACACAATGTTTTATTAATTATCTGAATTAAAATGCTCCAGGTAAACCAAAAGATCTATAATTCATACGTGTAAACTGTTCTGATGAGCAATACAACCAATGCTAAGCCCCATACTGCTTGGGGAGTCAAAACTCCCAACAAAATAAACCGCCCTAAATTACTGAGTTTGACTAAAATCGAAAAGCCCAAAGAATTCTGCTCTATGTAACAGAAACTATTACTCAAAAAGGAAAACCAAAACAAAACCCCAAATCTTTATTAATCAGATGTAATTTGACATTTCAGTCAGCGTACAGTCGTATTTTATCCACTGAGAAACCAACTGGTTTCTCTAGCGGTACCTTTCTAAAACACATAAACCAACCCAAATAGAAGTTAGGCCTCTTCTACAATGTGTAATTTCTTCATTATGATGGAATGCAACAAAATATCTTGCCCTTGGGTTGCTCAGTTTCAGCCCAAACAAATGCAAATGGCTTGTCAGATGACAGCTGTTTGATAAGGCTCCTCTACAAGACCTGCATGCTTTACTTTTTTCCGTGAAACTCGGGATGAAAGGCAGAAGGCAGGAAGAGAATTAATGTAGCATACAGTCTAAAGGCAATGCTACAACCGTGATTAAGTAGAAAAGTTAAAAGGCACAGATTTTCCACAGCTTCGCTGCGTGCAACCCATCCGTGTAACAAGTTGACAGGCCTAGCGCGTCAGCTCCATCATCCCCTCCGACAGCTAAAACGCAGCACTGCATCCCTTTTCAGAGAAAATTTGCGTCTGCACCATGAAGCGTTGTACATTATTTCTTAGCACTGCAGGGGGCTCAAGTCCATATGGAACCTTCACAAATATTACCACAGATCAAACCGGCGGCATTGGGAGGCAGATTTGACATACCTATTTAAATGAACAGCAGGGGTCCTCGGGCAGCCTCGGGCTGCGGAGAAGCTCGGCGGAGAGCCAGCCCGGCTCCATTAGTCAGCAAAGACACACTCTACATTTATCATTCATTTCATTTCTGCCAGGGCAAGAAGCTCATTTGCCCAAGGTCAACAAAAAGCGAAAAGAAGGTTTTCTTTTTTTTTTTTTTCCCCAAGAAATAAATGTACCTGACAAGTGAGGATTTTGTCCTTTGGGTGTGTGGAGCACAAATAAACACCAGAGAGTTCTAAAAGTGCCGAGTGAATGTGTGCCTGGGATTCAGGCAACCTGAAAGCTGACTGAGGACGTGGGGGGGGGGGGGGGGGAAGCCTGCTGAATGTTTTTGCAGCTTTTAAAAATCATGTAATGAAGAAACAAAATCCGACATCGTGTTCTTAAAGGAAAATGGGGTCTGTTGTAAAAAACTGGGTATTAGCAATCTAGCCATTTTGTTCACAGTACCCGAGGGAACCCCCAAATTTGCACACTATCAAACACTTAGAGCTCTGAAACAAAATAAAAGCCGTTCCCAAGGACACTTGAACCCAGTTGCAAGTCAAAGTGTAATAAAACCATTTCTTAGGTCTTTCGGAGGCACAGATTCTAGACTCAAAAGGCTGCATTCGTTTCTGAAAAGCTAAAACTGTGTATGAGTAAACAAAAAGTACAGAGGACAATCTGACTCTCTCCATGGTAAATGCCTCACAGCCCATGACAGCAGCATATCCTCGCCCCTTTCCTGCTTCGTGCCTTACCTCCAATACACACACGTGCATTATTACTGAGTGGGGCATCTATCTCCTACAATGATCTCAATCTGTAAGTACCAGCATTTTAAGGCCAAACCATCCTGATATAAATTCTATGATGCTTATTTACCTTCAGGAAAATGAACAAATAAAGTCTTTTGACATACTGCCTTATCTCTAGAGGTCTTAGTTCCATTCAATATGAAACATACTAGGTGATCCTGAAGCTGAGCAAAATGTCTGGTACACTTAGCTTACAGTTCATATTATTAATCATCGATGTAATATACTTACATGCATTAATGAATAATACGCCTGTTTGCCAGTATAAAAGAGAAAATGAAATGGACGGCCATCTTCTCCCCATTGGATTGCTAATAAAAAGCCAGATGAAAACAAATAAAAATAAAAATGTATACAGAGACCAAATAGCTATACTTAACAGAAGTTAAAAGACATGTCTACAATTCTGATTAACTTTTAAAATGACAAAACAGCTTTAATATTTAGGTCAGCATGTTTAACATGTAAATATTTAGAATATTTAATATTCCATATCATTAACATAAAACAATGTTTATGCCTGATAAAATATTCCTATATATTTCATTATGAGAATTTCTAGAACCTGTTTTAAATAAACACATAAAACAGCAAAAATCATCTTGTTAGAACAAAGAAATTAGGTTTGGCTGTAAATATAACACGCTCTCATATTCTTAAAAAGGGAAACTGATAAGAGTTAATGTCGTTATACATTCAGAAAATTAGGAAAAGGCATAATATAACAAAGAAAAAAACTAAATGGATTTTTCCATGCCACATTGTTTGTTCCAACTCTGTGGTGACATACCTCAGAGAGTTTCAATGTCTAAAACAGAAGGGGCCCCCACAAGGTGTTATGTGTAATTCCTTTTGAAATACAGATGGTCATTCACATCTAATAAACACCAAATGAACAGGAATGGAGTCACTGTAGTAAATAAACCAAACCTGACTCCACATCCTTCGCCCTTATTTCTACCGAGTTGTTTCTGTTAACCATTTGTGGAAACTCCAATACATTAAAAGTACACTTCTCTGTCAATTACAGAAATTGAAAACTCTTTTCTCTCAATCTGTCATTTACTTTTTTTTTAAGAGACAGCATCTTTCTCCCTTTTTTTTTTTTTTAAAGGAACAAGGTACTTTATCTTTTGGACAGGTGGACAAACACCAAGAGCTTCAATGTGTTTAAATCCTGTGTCACCTTTTAATTTGGTTTACAGTGTCTTTCATAATCAAGAAGTTTAAAATATATGTGTACTGTAGAATCTGTCACTGTCCTCTTGGCTGATTTCTACTATCACCCCTACTAAGGAGCCTTGTTAGACATCTTTTCCCTAACTGCCTCCCTCCTCAAGAACTTTTAATATCACACATATACTGCGTATCTGTTGATGTACACAGTGGCCCTTTGAAGGTTCATAAACATTCTAACAGCTCAGACTTTTCTCACCTCCTATGGATTCATTTATGCCCTCTCCCGGACAACACCACTCCTATGGAGAGAGCATGTTTTAAGACTTTGGGCTTTCTAAAAACTATTTTTCTATATTTTCTTCTGGAATTTGAATTTTTTTCATGTTCAGAAATTTCACCTATCTGAAATCTATGTTCATCAGGCAGAAACCCAAGTTATCAATTACCTTGTCCAGCAAAGAGTCATTATCCCATTAGTTTTTTGATACTATACTCTTCCGTGGAGTAAATTTTTTTTAGGATTCATTAATTGGGGGGGGGGGAGCACATGCACAAGAGCAAGAATGAGCAGAGGGAAGGGCCAAGGGAGAAGAAAGTATCTCAAGCCGACTCCACATGGGGCTTGATCTCATGACCCAAGATCACGAACTGAACCAAAACCAAGAGTCAGACACTTAAGAGTGCACCACCCAGATGCTCCACTATGCTCTTCTGTTGAAATACCATCTGTACAGTGAGTAGGATATTTTTGTCTTCTGAGGATAACTGACATTACACATAGGCCACTTTAAGTGAATATATTTAAAACAAAGCCCAAAATTTCATAATAAACTACAAAGAAAAATCAATTTTGATAGGGATTTTTGCTTAAAAAAGGAAACCAGATTCTTATATGCCATTGGCTATGGATGAATTAAATACTTCAGGGGATCCCTGGGTAGCTCAGCGGTTTGGCACCTGCCTTTGGCCCAGGGCGCGATCCTGGGGTCCTGGAATCGAGTCCCGTGTTGGGCTCCCGGCATGGAGCGTGCTTCTCCCTCCTCCTGTGTCTCTGCCTCTCTCTCTCTCATGAATAAATAAATAAATCTTTTTTTAAAAAATAAATACTTTGCCAACATCGTTTTCATAGACTTCATGAAATCCTGTATATCTTCCAAATAACTTCACTATGTAATTCATTTTCATTGTATTGCTAAAGCAGTTAGACAAGTATCATGGTTGCAGGTAAGAGACTACCTTAAAACTTGGGAGGTGATGTTGAGCTGGGTCTCATTGCACGTATGAGTATGTGAGTATGTAGTGATGTATGAGTATGTATATACTTGATTTCATAATATTTCATTCAATCTAAAATGTTACAGATTTTAAGATGCCCCATCACGCATCTTATACAAAGGAAAAAATGCTGATCATTATAGTTTACATTAATTTTAAAATGAATCCAGTTGTCAAATGTTAAAACTGAAAAACTCAGAATTCACAAAATATGGCATAAACAAACATGCTGATGCTGAATACTCTAATCTGGCCCACTGGTCTGTCAGAATACTGCACCACTGCCATCATTTGATTAAAATACGCTTTTTGCTGCATTGTGATAGCTGGTAGGGTGTTTCCTACATTATTCTTATTTCTCTTTAAAAAATGTCTTGCGGGATCCCTGGGTGGCGCAGCGGTTTGGCGCTTGCCTTTGGCCCAGGGCGCGATCCTGGAGACCCGGGATTGAATCCCACATCAGGCTCCCGGTGCATGGAACCTGCTTCTCCCTCTGCCTATGTCTCTGCCTCTCTCTCTCACTGTGTGACTATTATAAATAAATAAAAAAAAATAAAAATTAAAAAATGTCTTGCTGCTTCTTGAACATTTACTCTCTCAAATAAAGTGCAGAAGTTTTTTCCAAAAGTCCTAGCGGGACTTTGATAAAAAATTTATTACAGTTATTAATAGTTTTTAAAGAAGCAACCTTGCAGTATCTTTCCTTACAGGAACATGAAATCTTTTCTCTAGCTATTAGAGTTTCACTTATGAGCTTTAAGTTTCATAATTTTCTACATAAAACTCTTGCATATTTTTATAGTTTTATCTGTATTTTAGTTTTTGTTTTTCTTGACACTGCCCTCATTTAATTATTTTCTATAAAATTAACTTTATTACAACTTTATTGTAATATATATTACAATATATATTGTAATATATACCCTTCTTTCACTACTTTTTCAACAGACTTTTTTAACAGTTCACAGCAGAGTTGAGAGTAAAGTAGAGATTTCCTATATACCATCTTTGCCCCCACATATGCATAGCCACCTCCCCTACCCTTGTGGTACTTTTGTTATAAGTGACGAAACTACTCTGGCACATCATTATCACTCTAAGTCCAGAGTTCACATTAGGGTTTACTTGTGCTGCATACTCGGTGGGTTTGGATCCACCACTATAATATCACAGAGTAGTTTCAGAGCCCTAAGAATCCTGTGTTCGGGGTGCCTGGGTGGCTCAGTGGTTGAGCATCTGCCTTCAGCTCAGGTTGGACACCAGGGAAGTACCACATCAGGCTCCTCACAGGGAGCTGCTTCTCCCTCTACCTGTGTCTCTGCCTCTGTGTCTCTCATGAATAAATAAAATCTTAAAAAAAAAAAAAAAGAATTCTCTGTGTTCTACCTACTCCTCTTCACCGCTGGCAACCACTAATGTTTCCACTGCTTCCATAGTTTAGCCTTTTCCAGAATGTCATATACTTAGAACCATACGGTAGGTAGCCATTGCAGACTGGCTTCTTTCACTTGGTCATTTGGATTTAAGTCTCTTCCCTGTCTTCTCATGGCTTGATAGCACCTTTCTTTCTAGTGCTAAAGAATATTCCACTGTCTATTGATACCACGGTTTAATTACCCATTCATATGCCGAAGGACACCTTGGTTACTTCCAAGTTTCGGCAATAATGAACGGAGCTGCTATAAACATCTGTCTGCAGGTTTCTGTGTGGATTTAAGAGTTCAATCCCTCTGGATAAATACCAAGGAACACAAATGCTAGATTGTATGGAAGAGTATGTTTACAAATCGCCAAACTATCTTTCCAAGTGTTTGTAGCATTTTTGCATTTCCATCAGTGATGAATGAGAACTCCTGTTGATCAACATCCTTGGACAATTTGGTGGTATCAGTGTTGTGGATTTTGGCCATTCTAATAGGTGTGTAGTGGTACCTCACTGTTGCTTTAATTGGTATTTCCCTGATGTGAAGCATCTTTTCATATGCTTGTTTGCCATGTATACACGTTCTGTGGTATCTATTAAGAACTTCAGCCAATTTTTAAATTGGTCACTGGTTTTCACACTGTTGAGTTTAAGAGTTCCTTGTGTATTTTGGATAACAGTCTTTTATCAGGTATGCCTTTTCCAAATATTTTCTACAACCTGTGGCTTGTCTTTTCATTCTCTTGACAGTTGTCTTTCTCACAGCAGAAAGTTTTAATTTTAATGAAATCCAGCTTCTCCTTTGGTGTTGTATATAAAAAGCCATGGCCAAACCCAAGGTCTTCTGGGTTATTAATAATTGATTCAATTTCTTTAATTGATATAGGCCTATTCAAATTGTCTATTTTTGCTGTAAGTTGTGGCAGATTGTATCTAATCTACAAGGAATTGGTCCACTTCACGTAGGTTATCAAATCTATAGGCACAGAGTTATTCACAGTATTCCTTGATTATCCTTTTAATGTCTCTGGGATCTGCAGCGGTATCCCCTCTTTCATTTCTGGTACTAGTAATCTGTGTCCTTGTTCCTTTCTTTCACTAGACACTAGGACACTAGAGGCTCATTGATTTTACTGATAAAATAACACTGACATATAAAATCTATTATCAAAGAACCAGCTTTTGTTGATTTTCTCCACTGCTTTCCTGTTTTTAACTTCACTGACTTTTGCTGTAATTTTTATCATTTCTTTCTTCTACTTCCTTTGGATTTAATTTGCTCTTCTTTGTCTAGTTTCCTAAGATGGAAGCTTAGATAAGTGATTTCAGATAGTCTTTTCTACTATACACATTCAATGCTATAAATTTCCCTCTGAACGCTTCTTTTGCTCACTCTTTTTATAAAGATTAAATATTAGAATTCACTTGCCAGAGACAAAGCTGAAGTTTATTGTTCTAAACTCTTTCAGTACATTTACCTATGTCTATTTACTGAAATACAGAGAACTGTCTGCATGTTTTTTAAAAACACAAATGGTATTAGGCTGTATTTACTTCCTATAGACTATTTGTTTTCCCCTCCCCCAAATTCATCTTGGAACCTAATCCCTGATGTGCTGGTATTTTGGTGTGGGGCCTTTGGGAGGTGATCAGGTCATAGGGGCAAAGCCCTCATAAACAGGATGAGTGACTTCACAGAAGGAACCATGTGAGGACATAGGGAAAGATAGTGGTCTATGAACCAGGAAGCAGGCTCTCACCTGGTGTCTTGATTTTGGACTTTCCAGCCTCTAGGACTAGGAGAAATAAATTTCTGGGGTTTATACACCACCCAGTGTATGGTAACTTGAATGGACTAAGACAACACTACACCATTTTCACTTCCTTTTCTCACCTAACAGTGTGTTTTATCTGTACTAATACAACTAGAACTACTTCTTTCTTTTTTTGGAGAGCAAGAGGTGAGAAAGACAGGGTGCACACGTGAGCAAGCATGAATGAGTCTGGACAGGGAGTAGGGGCAGAGGGAGAGGGAGAGAGGGAGAATCTTAAGTAGGCTCCAGTATCAGTGCAGAGCCCAACACAAGGCTGGATCTCAAAACTCTGAGATCATGACCTAAGCTGAAATTAAGAGTCAGACGCTTAACAAAGACTAAGCCACTCAGGCACCCCTGGAACTACCTCTCTTGATCATCAGTATACTACTCTATAGTAGGATTCTCTGATGGTTTAGTTAGCTACCCTAAATTTTTGGTGATATATAATATTTACAATTTTTAATCTGATAAGTGATAATGACCACCTGTCATTTTTATAGAACACTGTTTCTGGGATCCCTGGGTGGCGCAGCGGTTTGGCGCCTGCCTTTGGCCCAGGGCGTGATCCTGGAGACCCGGGATCGAATCCCACGTCGGGCTCCCCGTACATGGAGCCTGCTTCTCCCTCTGCCTATGTCTCTGCCCCTCTCTCTCTCTGTGTGACTATCATAAATAAATAAAAATTAAAAAAAAAAAGAACACTGTTTCTGATCTGATAATTTCCTATGTTTACTACTTGTATTTTCGTTTATGAATAACCTACTTTGTTGGATACTTAACTGACTGTGCCCCTGTTGCTTTTTAAATTTATGCTTTTTCCCAAAGAGAATTTGAATTTTAAAATAGATAATTTATTGATCTTTGTCCTCTGCATTTTTGTATGACTTAAGGGTATAACATTATCCATTATTTGATAGTTATATGTTTATCCTCCAACTAGCCATTTTATTAAATTCTATTTTAGAATGTAAATTTCTTAATTCCAAAATCATAATGAACTTTTAAGGAATGGTAGTGGTACCACCTGGGCTGCCCTATTCAAATTCTTAAGAGCCTTAGTTAACAGCTTTTCCTATGAACATCTCAATGTTAAATGCATGGTACAAAAAGGCTCATCATGGTCGTCAAATCCATTTAAAAGATATTAGATTCCATTAATATAAATTAACATTCTTGTCTCATCAAACCACTCTTCAACCTCCTTGAATTCTATTTCATCTAGTGTTAGGTGCTATTCCTTGTGTCTATCATCAATCTGGTATATATCTTTGTTTTCTTCTGATATTTTTATCACTTGTCTTAAACAATGGAGCAGGATTTTTATGTTAACTCAATCTGGAAGCCTCTATCTTTTAAGAAAGGAAGTAACAGCACTTTACAAGAATTATAAACTATTCAAATCTAAATTTCACTGATATTTCTTAACATGAAAATTAGTTTGTCACATGTTTACAAAGTACAAAATTGGTAGGTAGGTGGCAAAAAATATTTTGCTAATTCTAAAGGAATCCTGTCTAAATACAGTTAACTACAATGTAATAAAATCCTACGATACTAACATAGTTCCAAAAAACAGGAGCATTTTGCAGGGATGTCTAGGAGTTTCAGTTGTTACATTCCAGCTGATAGTAATAAACTTCTGAGAAGCTGGTATGATTTGAAAGAAATAGTTTCAGAGGGGCAGATGTACAATAGATGCAACCAGTAGAGATACACAAAAAGAAGAAGACATGTAAATGAGGAGCCTGTGAAGCTGAAAAATAGGGAAGCCACTAACAATAATTTTTTAAAAGTCAGTTATAACATTTACAGAAAAGCCACTAAACTTAAGTTTCTATGCCTTGTATATAGTTTTGTTTCAATAAGCCTGAGCTGCATCTTTAAAGTGACATACACTTGTAATACAGCCTTCATTTATTATCTCCCCAAGAGCTATCAACTGAAATGATATTATAGTTTATAATCAACTATGTCAAAGAATTCAGGAAAATATAAAACACAATACAATTATGAAAAGACCCTTAATTTTTATAACAAGATTCAAAATAAAAGTTATCATTTCAAAGAGTGAAATGGAGCAGCAGAATGAAAGCAGGCCTAGCTCTGGGGACACCTATGTGGCTCAGCCTGTTAAACATCTACCTTCGGCTCGGGTCATGGTCCAAGGGTCCTGAGATCGAGTCCCACATCAATCGCTCTACTCAGCGGGGTGTCTGCTTCTCCCTCTCCTTTTTGCCCCTCCTCATACTCTCTCTCAAATAAATAAATAAAATCTTAAAAAAAAAAAAAAAGAATGCCTAGCTCTGAACACAGACTTAGCAGAAATATCAATGTAAAAACAAATACATTTTTTATTGAAATACCTGCTCTCTAATCAATCTCTACCAAATCGGCTCTAAAAGATACTGAGTAATGCTGCCTGCACAATGAGTATCTGTGGCTACCATGATCTTCTCTAGGATATCCACACATTTTGCTGCTGAGTTACATGCTTACTAAGAGTCAGCTGTGTCAATTCTCAAACCTGTTTATTACAATAGTACTTATTTCTATAATTACATGAATTAAGTATTACATAAACAGATGAAGTAAGAGTGGAAACAGAAGAGAGTTTTTTTTTTTTCAGAAGAGAGTTTTTGCTTCTATAAAACTAGGTTAAATGCTTTTTAAAAACTGAAAGGCAAGTTACTTAAAAAAAAAAGGTTTATTTCACTTCAGTGTGGCTAGAGGAAAAATCTGTAGAAATATAGAAACATTCTGCATTCAGATCTCTTAGGAACTTTAAGTTCTTTGCTCCACTGTGAGGAAACCAAAACTAAAAAAACTGTGATGATTCATTCCTCAGTGACAGCAGGGGTATGCAAAATAAATAGGAAAAAACATGATACCTACTCAAAGAAAAAAAAAATCCTCTACAGTTGTAGCAAAAGATGAACATATATAAATTTATGCTGAATGTTTTTAAGAAGTAATTTCTAGCTTTAGTACTTTAAAAAAATTTTTTTTAGTACTAAAAAAAAAAAATTGTTTTTCAAAATAGGCTCAACACCCAGTGTGGGGCCCAATGAGTGGCTTGAACTCATGACCCAGAGATTAAGACCTGAACTGAGATCAAGAGTTGGATGCTTAACCCACTGAGTCACCCAGGCCACCTCCTAGCTTTAGTACTTTTTAAATTACCAGACAACTACCACCAGTCCATACTGGCTAACAGGTTTTTTTTTTTTTAATTTTTTTTTAATTTTTATTTATTTATGATAGTCACAGAGAGAGAGAGAGAGGCGCAGAGACATAGGCAGAGGGAGAAGCAGGCTCCATGCACTGGGAGCCCGATGTGGGATTCGATCCTGGATCTCCAGGATCACGCCCTGGGCCAAAGGCAGGCGCCAAACCGCTGCGCCACCCAGGGATCCCAATGGCTAACAGGTTTTTAATGTAAATTAGGAAAGAGTAAATATATTACTTCCTTGAAAGCTTAAAGCCTGCTGTATGTTTCTGTCAAAATTTAATTTTACACATTTAAGAGACAAAGAGAAAATTTTAAAAGAAGCAAGGAAAACAGAAGGCTATGCAAGAACAATGGCTACCTGCTCATTAGAAACAGTGTGAGGCAAAAGACAATGGAATTATATCAATAAAGGAAAGACCAAAAAAAGGGGGGGGGGAGGAACCTATATTCAGTGAAAATGCTTCCGAAATGAATAAAAATTTTAAATTTTCAAATAAAAAAAGGCAAATCAGTTTCCAGCAGATCTGTACCAAACTCAAAAAAGGCATGTTAGAATGCAAATAAATCAGTCTAATAGTACAGGCATAAACTCTAACCTGATCTAATTATGGTATTATTTAATTAAAAAGAAATAATTTGTAAATTCCAGTCATTTATTATTAGTTATAAAATATCACTGACTGACTTCACAACTGCCAAGATACAGGAATATGTCTCCACCTTTTGTGGGCAACTGCTAATATGTAATGTAACACTGTAACACTACAGTAAAGGAAGAACTGTTCATTCATTCTTGAGCAAACTCACCTCTTTGTTTTGGAAAAATCTGTTCAGGATGCTGTAAAATAAATTACAGTGCATTAGATAATTACTGTAAGATATTATAAAAGTCTAAGTGAAATTTTAAAAAATATTAATGAAGATAACTACCTTCATTATTGGCCTGGCTTGCTTCTCAAACAAACCACTTGGAAAAAGGTAAGCAATAGCTTTCTGAAAATATACACAAAGGTTAATTAACGACTGTTATAAACACAAGTTAATGTTATGACAGTTACTGAGTACTCAGTATCAAACTAAGGATATCAAACTAAGAATTTCATATACATTGTCTCATCCTATAATCCTTTAAATGGGTAATAAAATAACCACATATACATCCCCCCCAAAGAAAAATTATTTGGAACTCTTAAACTGGTTATTAACAATTTCCAAGTGTCCGTTTCAAACATGAATATGACACCACAAATCTCTCTTTTTTAAAAGCAAATGGAGGTGTTCCTATACAACCTCCACAGTAATGTGCTCAAGAGCACCCCTTCTAACTTCTCTTTGGCAGTGCAAATATCAAAGACCAAATACTGAGAAGAGCAGGCTCCAAGCCTCATCCACTGTGACAGCCCTAACGTTTTTAGATGCTCTTTGAACTCTTCCCTAGGAAGTTGTGAGAGGTTTTTAAACTACATTTTTCCAACCAAGTTCTCTTAATGTCTATTTCTCAATGGGGATGCTATGGGCATTTTGAGTGTGACAGCTCTGTTGCAGGCAGCCTTCCCCTTCTCCTATACTGCAGGGTGCTTAACACCCCTGGTCCTTCTCCACAATCAATGCCAGTAACATCCCTAGTGCCTGTGAAAAATCTCGCCCCCACACATTGCCTAAAGCCCCTCACCTCCTAGTACTGCCACCAACTTGAGGAGCCATGTGGTGGCTCTGTGTAAGCCATGACAGCGTCTTCTCCAACACGCTCCTCAAAATTAAAAGCAAACCATATGCATTTTCATTTCCCTTGCACGGTGTCAGATGAGACGTCTGTGGCCTTGGATCTTATCAGCACTACATCTGAACTCTGAAGGAACTGGTAGTTCATGTAAACACAGTGCTGCTCCTTTAGAGAGGCTGCTCTTTGGACAGGCCTTTCTGTCTTCCCACACAGTAAATGCGCTAGATCAGATTCTGCTGCTGAAAGTAGGGACCTACAACTTGGGGCTTATAAAATCAATTCTATTAGGGAGCCCATCTGTGTTTCTGGGTCAACCTCATTCTTCCATTCAGCCTTTGGGCAATAGAACGGACACTAAAGGAACCCTTAGATCAAACATCAGAGTGCTAATTTTGTGAACATTTTTAAAAAAACAGGGACTCCTCTGCCTTCCTTCTCTGAGGGAGAAAAGGTGGACTTTTTAAGAAGTGATGTTGAGACAACTCATTGCCACTTGGAAAAAGATAAAAGTGGATGCAAGCCCAACAACGTACAGGAGAATAACCTGCAGATGGGGCAGACAGCTAAATAGCAGAAATCAAATCAAACAAGAACTACAAGAAAACATAGCATATTCCTTTATATAACCTATATCCCCACAGGCAAAACCAACATCATTACAGGTTATTCACCGATTTATAACAAAATTTAGAACACCGCCCCCCTCCCCAACAAGACTGGTTGCATAAATGATGGCACATCCATCCCACTCTAGTCATTTTAAAAAAGACTGATAAAAGCAAGATGCAAAGGAAATGTACTTAGAGTGTGACCTTTGGTGTACAAAAAGGAAGAAAACACAAACAGGAATAGGGGAAAATATACACAGGTTTCTTTCCACAAGGGAAAGTACAGTACAAACTAATAAAAGTCATGCTTTATAAAGGAGTGTGTGGGGATCCCTGGGTGGCGCAGCGGTATGGCGCCTGCCTTTGGCCCAGGGCGCGATCCTGGAGACCCAGGATCGAATCCCACGTCGGGCTCCCGGTGCATGGAGCCTGCTTCTCCCTCTGCCTATGTCTCTGCCTCTCTCTCTCTCTCTCTCTGTGACTATCATAAATAAATAAAAATTTATAAAGGAGTGTGTGGCGGCAGGGTGAGGGACACAGAGATGAGTAAAGCTTCCCTGGGTTTGCCTTTAATTCAGCTTAACTTTGAAGCATGAATAGGTTGTACATATTAAAGACTAAAATTTTCAAAAGAAACTCTAAAATTTAATATAAACAAATAAACCTAATTTCTAATGACAAAAGAAAAACAGCAAAATCTTCAACTTTACTTGGAAGGTTTATGGCCAGTAACATTAATGTTAAAATTAATATTAAAATTCTGAAACATTTTGTGTATATTATACCATAAAGTAAATGAATGTATTAATTTCACGGTGACCAAAATGTTACTGTAGGAGAAGAGATACAAATATAAAAGAAGAAATGTAATGTTAAATTTGAATTGGACAAATCAATGCATACTTGTGATCTTTAAAAAATACTATTCCCTGGATTATTCCTACAAATTTAAATGATAATACTTTTTAGTTCTGTCGCCTGAAGGAGCATAGAAGCAATGAAACTCTAGGAGCAATGAGTGGCCCCTAGCATCCAAATCTTGGTTTCTAAATACAATTTCCTAGCATAAGGAACAGAGTATCTTAGAAAAAACGGTTATTGTAGGCCCAAGGCAGGGAAAGTACAAAATAAGTCTGAGACACCTTCCCATGCCAGAAAGCAAGAAAGTGTATGAAAGGACAGAGAAGCCAGCTTCAAGGAGCTCCCACTGGCCACACTTGGGACAATGTGAACATCAAAAAGAAAACGGCAATGCCTTAGAATGCACTCAATATGTACATGTTTAAGAATGTGCCTCTACAGACACACACACACTCTCTCTCACTCTCCAGGGTTCTGAGGTAGGAGGCAAAGAAAAAAGGAAAGCCTCTTTATGAAACAATACCTCTTTATGAAACAATACCCGTTAATAAAATTAGGAGGAATGGCAGAAGGAGAAAAATCACTGTTTTATAACTTCCAAAGCAAACAACAATTTCAGGAAAGCATCACTAGTGGATGCCAAAGTCATCTTCTTAGCTACAAGAGGAAAAAGTTCCCTTTACAATGAAGAGGTCTACTGGTCACCACATTAAATAAGGGATCAGACATACAATCAATAGTGGGACAAACTCATTATGTACCTCCTGGTATGAAGGAATAAGAAGTATATAGAATCATGTAAGTATTACCCTTTATACATTCTAGATCTAATCACAAGGAAGCAAGTAGAAAGCCAGAATGTGGACAACTGTAGAAGCCAGACAAGTGGTCTGGATTCTACAAAACAACTAGCCAGCTATAAAGACATCTTGGGGAAAACTGAGGAAATTTAAGTATAGACTATGTAATACATGGCATTATAGAATTATTATAATTGTATTAAATATAATAGTGGTATCGTGGAAAAATGATATAAAGGATGTACGTATTTAGGGGTACATGCTGATATGTTTATTTAGGGGTTAGGTGTTATGCTATGTGCATTTTCAATGGCTCACTCAAACTTTTATATATACAGAGACAAGGGAAATGTGGCAAAATGCTAAAAACTGGCAAATCTACAAGGAAGATGTATATATGTGTGTGTGTTTGTATTCACTAAATATTCAAGTCTTCTGGAAATTTGAAAAATATTCAAGTCTTCTGGAAATTTGAAAAATAAAAAGCTGAGGAAAATGTTAAAAATTAAAAAGTAAGTCATTTAAATCTTTCCAAACCTAACCTGTCTCAGCAGGGCCACCATGAGCCTACAGCACCTGTGGACCAGATGGACATCAGGCCTGGTTCCCACAGTCAGACACGGTAGCCCCAAGGTTGGTCAGACATCGTAGCCAAGAGGCTACTGACCCAGGGCTTGCATAAGACTATTAGCGTGAACACTGAAGTACAACCTGCAGCCTGAGGTGAGCATGCCAGAGTTATGGGGGATAGGGGACAGAGCTGCAACCAACTTACAAGTCACATTCAAGCTGTCACTGGCATTCATCTTCAAATATAAAAATTATTAGTAACCTAGGTGAGAGTCCATGAGGGTAGTGAAAATGTAAAGGATTCTGGCCTGCAGCTAGATTTCTCATGAAAACTAAGATGCAGACAAGTCACCAGGAAGTTAACTGGTAGAACGTGAAAATAAAGCCTCAACTGCAAAGACTGTCTAGGTCTTACAAATAAAAAACAAGTTAATAAAGAATTTGCTGGAAATTTCCTGATTTCCTAAAGGAATCCGGAAAAGTAGCACTGCCTCAAAACAAAAACAAAACTCTTCAGCTAAGAATAAATTAACAGATATTTACTAATTCAGAATTCCTCACTATATTAAGTGATTATATTTTATTTATTTATTTTAGAGAGAGCATGCAATTGGGGCGGGGGGCGGGCAGAAGGAGAGGGACAAGCTGACTTGGCACTGAGCATGACACAGAACTCAATATGATGACCCTGAGATCAAAATCTGAGCCAGACACAAGACAGATACTTAACCAACTGAGCCACTCAGGCGCTCCTAAGTGAGAATAATAACACAACCAACTATACTGTATTGTACTATTTTATACTATAGTACACAGGGATCCCTGGGTGGCGCAGCGGTTTGGCGCCTGCCTTTGGCCCAGGGCACGATCCTGGAGACCCGGGATCGAATCCCACGTCGGGCTCCTGGTGCATGGAGCCTGCTTCTCCCTCTGCCTATGTCTCTGCCTCTCTCTCTCTCTGTGTGACTATCATAAATAAATAAATAAATAAAATTAAAAAAAAAGAAATGTCTATACTATACTACACACTATATACTCTATTACTGATTATTGATATGGCATATACAATGTACTACGCTTATATATTGTATCAAGTATTATTACATTTGTACCAAACTACATTAGTTTTGTACTAAGTACTATGGAAAAGGACCACAGAGCAAGATACCATGGTAGAGAAACAACCAAATCACAAATTCAGTAAAAACAATGAAAAACCAAGGATGGCAGAAAAAGGAACAAAGGAAGAAACAGCACATAAGGTAAACTTTTTTTTTTTCAAAATCTGTATTATATCTTTTCTACCAGGTTATGAGGAATATGCTTCCTAATTCCAGTGTTCTATCAGTCATACACTGGTTACTGTTTTCAACCAAACAGAAGATACAAAACAGGAAAGTCACACTCCTGAGTGGTCTGTCATCTGTTCAG